CGCAAAGAAGAAACGAGAGGAGAAAAAAGCTGCTGGAGGGCCGGTCTCGCAGAAGCATGTGCTCGAGGGACTGGAGGATTTGCCAGGCGAGGACGAGTATTCCGGACTGGGTCTAGATAACTTTATGGACTCTATTAAGCAGCGTTAATTTGTATACATATGTATTCGCTTTGGCTTCGTCCTTGCTATCAATTCGGATTTCTCATTCGTTGCAAGTTTAATTGTACTATTTGAAGAGCGTACATGCTTATCCCACGGCACGAGGGGCAGGGGCGGGTGAGCTCCCAAGTAGCGACTCTCCTTTGCGCTTGGCCCTCCATTCAATCTTTCGCTACAACGCCCATGCTTGTGAATCAGGGAATACGTTTGGCATAAATAGACGTACGTCGAGCGTGAGAGCTAAAAGTCCCATAGATAGCGGTACGGCTCCAAGCCAAATGGCTACCTTGCGAGCGGCGTAGGGGGTCATTCGAAATCCTTTCCATAGGTTATCTCTCTGCGAGGACAGCGTAAGTTAGGCGGATATTGATATCTCGATTGATCTGGCGTACCATGTTTCCCCATCGCTCGATAGCTGGGTCAATCTGTGGCAGTCGTTAAAACTCGTAGGTGAGTTGAGCAGCTTCCAACCCACTTTAATAGTTCCTATAGTATCATCTCTTAGCTATACACATACGTGTAGTATTTTACTCCCGCTCACCATGATCTCCGGCCATGATGGTCTTCAAAGATACTCCAGCGAGTCGAGTTAGTGTGCAAGAGACCTTGTGTCACGTGGCTGTCGGCGCTTTGGGTTTGTTTGTCGCAAATTCACTCCCAAGTGTCCAAGTGCGCATACAAGGGCTGCAACCTCAAAACAAAAACGTCAAAAATGCGTAGCTAGCAGGGCAAAACGTATGACCACCATGAGGTTCGAACTCATGACCTCATCCGCCGCTCAAACGATGTTTAAACCGTGTGAAGGATGCGTGATAACCAACTACACCAGGCGGCCTTGACGAACATCAAGATGTATGTGTTACGTCACCTCCAAAAATCAAATTGGTGTGGCCTACTAAAGTTTGACACTTTTACGGAACGTTTCTTAGTACATGTTCCACACTTGCTACTGACCAAAACAGCCGAAAAATGTGACTGTGCCGAGATATAGCGAAAATAGTCAATTTACTATGGGCAAGGTCACGTGGTTGATGGATCTGCATGCACCCCATTTTATTACGTTCGAACCACCATTTATCACTCCTTCATCTCGCCGACGACCACACCACAGCTTACCATGGCCGCGAATACTTTGGACTGTATTATGATCTTGGGAGACTCCCTAACCCAGGGCGGATGGGAGCCTGGTATGCCCATCTAAACGACAGTTGACCTCTGACTTCATCGCTGAATCAGGTGGATTTGTTCAACGGCTCGCATACGTGTACGGTCGTAGACTCGATGTTCTCAATCGTGGGCTTTCTGGCTACAATACAGAGTGGGGTATTCCCGTATTCGAAGAGGTATGGAGCATGCTCTGAAATTCTGACCCATTTATTGACTTACACCCCTCAACACAGTCATTTGCAAAAACCGAACTCCAAGTCGCTCTGCCCAAAGTAAAGCTCTTGATAGTCTGGTTTGGTAGGCTCCGAAACATCGAGTCGCAACAGACCATGCCTTACAGCTAGCTCATAGGTGCCAATGATTCGGTTCTAGAACACAGCCCTCAGCACGTACGTTTGAGGTATACTTTCAGCTTCAGACGAGTAGATTATGTTTGCACAGGTCCCTTTACCAAGGTTTATTGAAAATATCAACACGATAGTCGATATGCCTACCTCGCCGACCTCCCCCTGGTATTCTCCAACCACTCGAGTCTTGCTGGTAACCGCACCCCCGATTAACACTATTGAACGAAATGCTCAATTAGCTGCTCGCAGCCCACCCCTTGGCCCTGACCGTACTCATGAGAACACCAAGGCCTATGCACAGGCGGTAGTAGACGTTGGGAAGGAGCGTGGAGTACCTGTTGTAGATTTATGGACTGCAATTTGGAAGGCGGCTGGGGAAACTGAGAAGGGGCTGGGAACATTTCTTCCAGATGGATTGCACTGCAACGAAGCCTCGTACAAGGCAAGTGTTCGGCGCAACTGTGCCTTTTCGGCGTACCTAACCCGCCACAGATATTATACGACCTTATTATCGAAGCAATCTCTAAGCACTATCCGGAATTGCATTATGAAAAGCTTCCACATGTGTACTGCAGGTTCGTCTGTTGACTGTTTCTCGGTGCTTTGAAATTTAACGCCTCTATTAATAGATGGGATGAAGTAGACTGGAAAAACCCGAGACCGAGCTTGAAATCGCGCCGAGTTGACGTCTAATTGTGGTCAACATGATATAGCAAATGTAGTATTATTCGAACGTCATGAAAGAGCCCAATATATACACATAGAAATACGCTAAACGACTCAATGCTCTAACGAAAGCTGAGAATTCAATAAGTCTATTGAGCATACATTATGCTCTATGATTGTCCGCGTCGGGATTGCCCCATCGTACCTCAACACCTGGTCCGCTCTGCCAATCATGAACTCGTTTCTGAGCAATGGAAGACATAGTGCTTTGTTGTGTCCCAACAAATCCCGCTCCCATCGACTGAAACATGGCGTCAAGGATCAT